TGGAAGTATCCTTCAGATACCTTGTTTGCAGAGCGTGTAGAGCTTTGAGGGTCATAACAAGGGCTTGGGAATTGAGCCTGAAAGTAGGGTAGCCAAGCAGTGCTTGACAACCAGCAGGAAGGTTATGGATGAGCATTCAGTATCCCAGGAGAAATTTTTAAAAAAAGATAAATAAGGCCTCATCTACTTATAGGAAGTTCTTGCCATAGATTTATGGCAATTCCCAGAGCTACCTAGCAGTGAGAAGGGGCAGCTCTAGGAATTGCCAGATACACTGAAACTTACCAGACTGAATGACTAATGTGGAACCAACTATACTTTATTTGTTTTGATCACATTACTTATATTGGGAAGAAGGCTAAGGAATATAGCTTCCTGCCTGCTGTTTTGATCCCTTTTCTTCCTTTTGATGTTATTTACATATCAGTATTGATATCTGTGATACTTTATGAAGCAATAGAAACAAAACAGACAGCTCTGTGCCCAAAGGATGCAGAAGGTATCTAGTTCAGTCACATCAACAAGTATCCAGTCCAATTGTCCTGTAGTTTGGGGACTTGGGACAAAGGTCTTTCTCAGTCATATACAATTTGAAGCCAAGAAAAAAATGATTTTCTGATTGCTCTCCCACAGTTCAAGCACTGCTTTTTTATCTGTTGAATGCCGTTTAATATGCATTTCTTTATCACTGCCAAACCTGTGAGGTCCTGAGGTTCTGCTATTTGTGAGGAATATCTCCAAGCCCTGAATTGGCATGGTGTTTTGTCCTTTTGGTGGGCCTTGATAAGGGGCACTACATCTGTGGATTTTTCTTTGGGCTACTTGGAACTTCATCCCAGGATGGGTGCATGTTCAGGGCACACAGGAACTCCTCTGTTTGGCCTCAGATACCTGCCATTTATGAATGGTGTGATAAGCTTGAGCTGAACTTCTTCTTACCTTATTAACACTCTGCCTAACATGCTTGGTGGAAACAGAACATGTAATGCCTTTAATGCAGGACTCAGACTCCTGAGAATCTCAGGTTTTCCTTTGTCAAAAAGCAGTTCCCAAGTACTTTTCTAAAATTTGGGAAACAGAAGGATCTGGATGGTGTTCCTGATGGTCAGGGAACGGATCTTTTTCACTTTTATCTAGCTGCCTTTTTAAAAATAAAATAAAATTGAGTATAGGTTGCAGTACTACTCGAAGCTAAAGTTAAAACACAACACTTAAACTTATGCTGATCAGACTCTGGTGCCAGGTAAATCAAAATCCCGGCTGAAACATGCAAAATATATCAGCAAATCCAGTCCTGTCTGAGAGCCAGTTTGCTGTAGTGGTTAGGAGTGCGGATTGTAATCTGGGAGAACGGGGTATATTCCCCACTCCTCCACATGCAGCTGCTGGGTGACCTTGGGTCAGTTACAGTTCTCTCAGAGCTGTTCTCTCACGAGCAGTTCTCTCAGAGCTCTCTCAGCCCCACCTACCTCACAGGGTGTCTGTTGTGAGGAGGGGAAGGAGATTGTAAGCCATTCTGAGACTCCTTCGGGTAGTGAAGGGTGGGGTATATTTCTTGTCCTGTAGAAACCAGTGCCAAAAGTAAGGACTTGAGAAATCTTGTCAGTAGAATTCTAGAAAAGGAAAAAAGATCCCTCAAGTGATGCAGTGTGATAGGGAAGCGTACACAGACGTGTGTGTAAAGTGCCATCAAGTTGCAGTCGATTTATGGTGACCCCAGCAAAGGGCTTTCAAGGCAAGTGAGAAGCAGAGGTAGACTCTCTTTGCAGAGTTTCCCTCGATGCTCTCCCTTCCAAATACCGACCCTGGTTAGTTTCCAAGATTGGGCTATACCATGACACCTTCCCTCCTGAATAGCTATGTGCTCGGTTGCTTATTATAAGATTGTCTCCAGGGTTGCTTTCACATGGGCGTGATACCCCATTATGCACTACTTCTTTCCACAATGCTGATGCATTCATAGCAGCAATGGAACACACGTGTGTGTGTGTGTGGGTTTCGTATTTTGTGGTTTTCCCTTCCTTCCACCATTTCCCAGCTACTGGTGAGTTTTTTTGCAGGCTATATTGCTGGAGTGTATTAACACGACAACTAATAAAAGGGGTGGCGGTGGCTGGAGTCAGGGGAGGTGGTACTGAAAACCCACAACTTCCCATCCACATGATGACGAAACCCATTTTGAGTATGACCTTTCCCAAAGTGTTGTATCAAAGCAGTTTGGAAAATGCAGTGGGGCGCAGCAAAACCTAGAAAGCGGGCAGTGTTGTGCAGGACACCCCCACCGACAACTGCATTTTGGGAGGCAAAGCAGAGCTAAATATGTGTGTCGAGGCAGCTCTGGTGTCCACGTTGCTCCGTTTCCCTCCTTCTTCTGTCACGAATGCTTGATATTGATATAACTGCAAACGCATGTTAATTGCAATTCATTTGCAAGTCCCCCTATACAAATCAGTCCAAGTCTGCACTGCCGTGGGCACTTCCTTCGGAGCCCGCTTCTCCCTACCAATATTCCTTCTGAATAAACAGTAAAAGTGTACTTCTGTTGTTGGATCCGGGTATTTGGGTCACAGAACCCGAGATTATTTTAATTAAGAATTCCAGACCCCCCCTTCCCTGTTCCGTTGTTTTTTCATTGTCTCCTTCATTTCAGTGTGATGTTTGGAAAAACCTCGTTCATGCACAAGCATTTTGCTGCCAATGTAAATGGTTACTAAGGATAGCGGCTAACAGCTCTCGCCTGCTTTGTCTCCATAGCAGGCAAGTCCTTAGCAGGACGTTACATTCTTTGTGATAGAACTCCCTGCCAAGTGCCGAGCGCACGCTGATTGTATTAACGCCTGAACTATTGGCTCGAGCAGCAGTCAGAACCTCCCTTTAAGGGAAAGGAATACGGGTCAAGACTATAATTATCATCGTCAACTGCTCATGAAAAAAGTTCTCTTGTGATTTGAATTAAAATAAAAATCAGCTTGTTGCACAGTGATCTTAATAAGTATTACCGGCAAAAATAGAAGCTTGTAATGGTTGCTTTACTGCTGTCTGGATATGGATGTGTAAGGCAGATGGTGCGAGGTCTTTCTGTACCCCTTTTCGTGCCGTCAGGTCAAGCTGTGTGCAGGGCTCAGCTCAAATCGTATCAAACCAGTGCATAAGATGTAGTTTGAGTTCATTTTTAATTAATGTTAAAATGTGGGTTCATGCCGATATTTTGTTGGTGCTTAAACTGCAGTAGAAAGTGAAACTTGTAGGCTTGAAATCATGAGCTGTGTTTTGTAGAAGAAGAAGGAGATTGGATTTATACCCTGCCCATCACAACTCGAAGGAGTCTCAGAGCGGCTTACAATCTCCTTTCCCTTTCCCTCCCTGCAACAGACACCCTGTGAAGTAGGTGGGGCTGAGAGAGCGCTTTCGAGAACTGCTCATGAGAGATCAGCTCTGAGAGAACTTGTAACTGACCCAAGGTCACACCAGCAGCTGCATGTGGAGGAATGGGGAATCAAACCTGATTCTCCCAGATTAGAGTCCAGGTTCCTAACCACTACACCGGACTCGCTGACCGAAAGAGGATCCCAGCCTCCAAGTGGGACCTGGGGATCCCCCTGAATTACAGCTCATCTCCAGACTACAGAGATTAGTTCCTCTGGAGAAAATGGATGCTTTGGAGGGTGGCTTCTGTGGCCCCACCAAGGTCCCTGTCCTCCCCAGGCTCTACCACCAAATCTGGCAACCCTACCCCCACCAGTAGCCAGAGAGGACCTGGCAACCCTATCATATGTATATATAGGGCCGGTGCCAGACTCCCTCCTCCGTCTACTGTAAAATCCTGGGGAAAGGTACATGGTGATTCTCATGTCTCTGAACCTCAGCATTTTTTAAATTTAAGTTTTATTAACTTTTAAGCATAACACATAAGAGAAAGTATACACATAAAAGGAATTAAGAGAAAGGGGGGGAAAGGAAAGGAAAGAAGGGAATATGTTTCGACTTTCACCTGTGACTAGTACAGCTTAATTCTCTGTTCATTCTCTATGTGCATAAATAAAACCCTCTCTTTTATCTATAATTCTTTTCTTATCTGAACCTCAGCTTTGATCCATTTTTTAGGGGTAAGACTTTAAGTGTGTCTCCATTTCTTTCTTGTGGGTATCATTGCGTGAGAAAGGACACCCGCCCTAAAAATAGATGGAGAGCTTCAAAAGAACCTGTGCTGAGGTGTTTGCTGTTACAGTTCTGGCAGTGAGTTCAAGGTATTGGATCGGAATGAAAATAACTTCGTATCTAACAAACAAACTCAACAAGCGACTCACAATTACCTTCTTGGTGCGGGATACTTCCACATTATCTCAGATTGTCAAGTGCCAATTATCAGGCAGGGCAGGATGGAGGGGGAGCACCGTTCGGATTTTCTGCCTGGATACCAGGAGCATCTTGAGATAGCCCTGATCTCCTGGGATTCACGTGAAAATGGAAGCTGAATTGTGCAATATGGGTATGTTCTTCAAATTACTTACCGTCCAGTTACAATAATGAAACTGATACTTGCCGTGCACTTTCAGGGGTCAAAAGGAGGAGTCCTTCCTCGTGCCCATGGAAAAGCTGGTAGAATCCAACCCAATGTTTCTCACAAAGCAGGTGATAACATTACCAAAATTCATTAACAGGAAGGGTCATTTAGATAGGAAGAAGAGGAGGGCTTGTTACAAAAACGGACCAGCTAACAGAAACAGATGCACAAGCTACTTGTGGTAACAGCGTACTGGCACATGTCGTGCAAGGGCCTGCATTCTCTCACCTGGAGTTCTCGCCTTTCCTTGTACATAACGTCTTTCAGGCTTCACTCCTGGGAGCTGGAAAAGCGCTTTCTGCCTGTGTGCTGTTAGAATCCTTCTAATGAAAACAATTTTGTTTTTCCCTTTCCATGTGTTTCTTCCATCCAGCTATAATAGCAAAGAGGGTGGGTTTTTTTTTCAACATTTCATTTTGTTTCTGTTTCTCATCAGAAAATGAAGAGCTTGGCCCAAAGACGTCAGTCTGCCCCATCCCTCGTGATCAGCAAAGCACTGAACAAGACCAGACCGAATGCCAGGTGAGGTGGAATGTGTTTTTTCTGGCTGTACTTTCTCGCAGGTTTCCCATCCCAGATTGCAATGTGTTTTTGACAAGCAGCTTAACCACACGAGGCTCAAATGGTATCTGTGGGGAGAGGTGCAATCCACCCCCACAGTGGCCTTTTTAGGAGGTACTGGAGCTCTGAAAAGTAGATAAATGTGTGGAGCAGAGTAATGACTATAAGTTTCATAAATTAGGTTCTTCACATTTAAAAAACTTTGTATAATAATGTTAGATGATTGATTTGTTTAAGAAAAAACCTGTACCTGTGTGATTCAGTAATTTCTCACATGGGTATTTACGGAAGCAAACCGATTATTCTCAGGAGTGGGCCGTCGACTGCGCATGGCTTTGCTTGTATGCCTTTTGGAAGTGCCAAGCTCGGTATCAAAGAGAGCTGTGGAAGCTCCACCTGCTTTGCAGGGTAGGCATCACTTGCTTGATGCAAAAAGAGTGCAACTTTCCTGTAAGTTTCTCTTGTTTATAGACCAATCTGTCAACTTCAATTAGGTCAGCAGCTACTTACGGAGGTCCTTTACTTCTGGGACGGCCATTTTGCCTGTGTCGGGTATTTGGTCCTTTAAGAGGTGACACCCAGCCTCTGAGATGGCAAAGCATCTTCTCTGGTTACGTTCTGTAAACTGTGTTAAGGGCTGTTTTATTCCAGCAAGCTTTTGCTGCTTAAATTCTGGGCTATTTTAGAGGATTCTTTTTTTATTGCTGCTGCTTTGTGAAGCTATTTTTAAGCATTGTCCTTATGGATTATTTTGGAAGAGGTGATGTCTTAATGATTCTGGGTCCCCTGGGAAAAACTCAAGGATGGGCCCCCAGATTGACTCAGGCATCAGGTGGGGAGGGTGATCAGCTGTAGGGAGGGAGGGGGCACCACTCTATAGCTGTTGAAGGGAGGCGGGGAGCACCACCCTACAGTTGATGTAGGGAGGTGGGGGGGGGCTCATCAGAAAGATGAGTGTACTTTCTGATGAGCCCAACCCGCTGCTGAGTGTGACACCATCTTGATGAGGCCAGTGGCTAGTGCTGAGTGTGACATCATCATCGTGAGGCCAGTGGCTAGCATTTAAGAAAATAAGAGGAGCCCTGCTGGATCAGACCAGTAGTCCATCTAGTCCAGCATCCTGTCTCACAGTAGCCAACCAGTTCCTCTAGATGGCCAACAACAGGGCACAGAGGCCTTCCCCTAATGTTGTCTCCTGGCTCTGGGATTCAGAGGCTTAATGCCTCTGAATGTGGAGATTCCCCTCAGTCACCATGGCTAGTAGCCATTGATTGACATCCTCCATGACTCTATCTAATCCAGTTTGTGGACTCTAATCTGGGAGAACCGGGTTTGATTCCCCACTCCTCCACTTGCAGCTGCTGGATGACCTTGGGCAAGCCATAGTTTTAACAAGAGCTGTCCTTGAAAGGGCAGTTTGTGTCAGAGCTCTCTCAGCCCCCCCTACCTCACAGGGTGTCTGTTGTGGGGAAAGGAAAAGAAAGGAGTTTGTAAGCCGCTCTGAGACGCCAAGTGAAGGGCGGGGTATAAATCCAATGTCTTCTTCTTCTTCCCCTATTAAAGCTGTTTATTCATGTGGCCATTCCTACATTCTCTGGCAGCAAATTCCACTTTTTAATTACTGTCTGTGTAAAGTAGTATTTCCTTTTGTCTGTCCTGAACCTACTGCCCATCAGCTTCATTAGATACCCTCAAGTTCTAGCATTTTTGGAGAGGTAAAACATTTCTTTTTGTCAGCTCTCTCCACATTATGCATAATTTTATAAACCTTTATTATGCCCCCCCCCCAGTCATCTCTTTTCTAAACTGAAAAGTCCCAGACTCCTAATGAATGAGAGCAAGGCCAAGTGGAAAATGCAGATGCCTGCTGCAGATCCAACCTACTCATGATTTTTCATGGATTGCTTGGAAATCTTTTTCTTCTTTGATGAGATTAAGTAGCTTGAAGTTTTTATTTATGGCAGATGGTCATAAGAAACCGTTCGGAAACCTCTGTGATGGCTGAGTAGAGTAATAACATTTTTCCTTCTTCTGAGGTCACTGTTTCAGGAACACAAGTGAATATTTAAAAGCAACAACAACAAAGCAAAGTATATTACAGAGCTTTGTACAATCATTTATTAAAGTGACGAGGGTTGGGACGGTTTTGTGTTTAATTTTGATTAATATGGCATGCTGGTATTGCTAGCACAAGCATTTGATCTCAAGGAAACTTTTATTGCAACTTATATTGAAAATAAAAACCAATTTTTGCAAAAGAACCCGTTGTCTGTACTGATAGATGATGCCCACCTTTTCAACATTCTTAAACTTATTTCCCCCACCACCACTTTGTGACTGCCTCCCCCATCACTGAATGTGGATTGCTCCTTTTTATTTAGAATGTACTGATGACAGGGAAAGGTACATTGTGTTCTGTCTTCATAATGTATTGAGAACAGGAATAGGCAGGAAAATGCGGATGAAGCTTCTTTCCATTTTAATTATCTGCTACATCTTCCCTTATGTCTGGGGAGAGCCTGTTTGGGGGGAGAGCCAGTTTGGTTAGGAGCACGGACTCTAATCTGGGAGAAGCGGGTTTGATTCCGCACGCCTCCATATGCATCGTTTACGAGCATGATGATTGCTAAGTATTGTACGATTTAATAGCAGATAAAGGGGGCTCAGATCAGGAGCTGAAGTCTTAGCCGTCCATCACTCTCGAGTGTGACGCCATGCCCCAGTGTGTCTTCAGTCTTAACCTGATTTACAGTGTGCCAGGATTTTCAGCTGTAAAACAAAAGTAGATTATACCTGAAGATAGGACGACATTGTGTGGGAGGGGCAGTGGTAGAACACCTGCTTGCCATGCAGAAGGTCCCATGTTCAATCCTAAAACAGACCAGGCAGTAGGTGATGTAACAGACCTCTGCCTGAGACCTTGTGAGAGCTGCTGCCAGTCTGACTACCCAGCGCTGTCCCTGAGAGCCAGTTTGGTGTAGTGGTTAAGAGTGGCAGACTCTGATCTGGGAGAACCAGGTTTGATTCCCCACTCCTCTGCATGCAGCTGCTCGTGTGACCTTGGGTCAGTCGTAAGTTCTTTCAGAGTTGTTCTCTCAAGGGCAGTTCTCGGGAGAGCTCTCTCAGCCCCACCTACCTCACAGGGTGTCTGTTGTAGGGAGGGGAGGGGAAAGGAGATTGCAAGCCACTCTGAGACTCCTTTGGGTAGTGAAGGTGAGGTATACAGCCAATCTCTTTTTCTTCTTCTTGAGCTATTGCTTCAGTAAATTATTGTTAATGTCTTTTCTCTTATCAAATAAGTCAATTTAGCCATTTCCGCAAGTTCCATCATCTTCACCATCCATTCTTCAATTGTAGGTATCACTAGGGATTTCCATTTCTGAGTGTATAGTCTTGCTGCTTTTGTCATATACGAAAATAAAGTTCCATGTGTCCTTTCTAACTGACCGTCCCTTAATCCTGACAGAAAAGCCTCTGGTTTCAGTACTTCTCTAAGACTTCTGTATCTGCCACAGCAGTAGTTTTCAAAGTTCATGAAGTTCAGGGAGCTTTTTCCCCATTGACCTCTGACTAACAAACAGAAAATTACCATATTATGCAACTATTTGAGGCATATTGTAGGTCTATTCAGTTCACACCAAACACTAGCCAGGTCCATATTAGCTGACAAGTTCCTTAGGACACACAATATACCACTGTGGCTGAACATTGCAGGGCAGGATCAGTGGCTAAGGGGAAAGGTGTTTTCTATGAGAGCCTCTCCACTATTATTTACTTTGCCCTAAGGAGCACCATAAGCTTCTGATGAACTCCAGGACCCCTCATCTGGAAACTGATTGGTAGACACAGGGCTCCCTTCTCTAAAACTGTGCAGGGCTCTAAAGAGATTAGCAGATAATAAGATTAGCTGGCTAATGCTTGTACAGCATTTTTTACCTGCACTGTCATCATCAAAGACTGTGATGCATCCTCCTACCCTCAGGTGAACTGATCCCCCCCCCACTGCTTTCCGTCTTCACACTGCCCAGTAATCTTCTGAAACTATTTCTTCCAACCCCTTTTGTAGTACATATAGCTCTTTGCAGTTGTTGCAAGATTGTTGGCAAAAATGACACAGGCACACCATATCGGCTCCTCTAAATTTATTACTTCAGTTTCAGTGTGCCTTGCTTTTATGCTTAATAAAATGCCGTTCCTCTTCATCAGTAAGAACATAAGAGACGCCAATGTTGGATCAGGCCAAAGGCCCATCCAGTCCAACACTCTGTCACAGTGACCAAAAATACCAGGTGCCATCAGGAGGTCCACCAGTGGGGCCAGGACATCAGAAGCCTTCCCACTGTTGACCCCCCCACCCCAAAGCACCAAGAAGACAGAGCATCACTTGCCCCAGAGTCCCTATCTGGGAAGCCAGTTTGGTGTAGTGGTTAAGTGCACAGACTCTAATCTGGGAGAACCGGGTTTGATTCCTCACTCCTCCACTTGCACCTGGCTGGATGACCTTGGGCAAGCCATAACTCTGTCACAGCACAGCTGTTCTTGAAAAAGAGCAGTTTCTGTCAAGAGTTCTCTCAGCCCCGCCTACCTCACAGGGTGTCTGTTGTGGGGAGGGGAAGGGAAAGGAGTTTGTAAGCTGCTTTGAGACACCTTTGGGTAGTGAAGGGCGGGGTATAAATCCAATCTCCTCCTCCTCCTCCTCCTCCTCCTCCTCC